TAATCCACCCGAAATACTGCTTTCGGAATGTAGATTTTTCCGGCCAGGTTTTTTCCATGATATTTATACATGGTTGGAATCAGCATCGAATTCTGAACAAAATGGCTCATTTAGATTTTCCCGAGAATCGCTCTACAGCCTGGTACAAATGGATTCCCAGATTTTCGACAAAAAAACTTCCGCAACGAAGTAGCGCGTTACGTGAACAAGCCGTTATAGCGTTAAAAAAATTGTTTGTTTTATGTTCATAAATGGTCTGTTTTGTGATGAATAGACACTTCTGTCCGCTTACTATACTCAGAAAAAAAAACAGCTCATTTGGGTAAAGAATGACGAAAATATTGAACATTTTCTAACTCTAAGGACTTTACGGACATCCTATATTTATTTTTATGCGAAATAATATTTTGTTAATAAAATCAGGCCAATATGGATCAAACTCTGTCCATTTTTTCATATTTCGTTATTTAGAGTTTGTTCTACATTTTCCGATTTTTAGGTGATATTCAGTGATAGAACATAAAAAATTGCATCGACTTGTCTATATTAGGGATGGAAATTTAGTTAACTCGAAGTTAGCTTAACATCAACAAATAATCCACTATTTTTTACCTAATTTCAATTTTTTATGTATAAAAGCATAGAAGCACGCATTCTAAAACACTAGAATTTATTAAGATTGTTGAGATACATCGGATACTCCTACTTAAGAAAAGTGCATTTTAACCGTTCATGCTAAATTGTTAGAATGCGGGATAGACCACCAATAAGATGGGAGACCAAGGATCATTTTTTTCTAACTTATAGTGAATTTAATGATTTCTATGAGTCAAATTTATGTAGGACAAGATATTTTTACATATTTGTTTCATACCTCTTTAAATCATTATTGCGTTGAGCTAATGTTATTTTTATTTGTTCTTCTTTGATTACACTTAATTCATTTTCTTTTTCTCTCAATAATTGATTTAATTGTTCTAAATCATGATTATACTGTTCATCGATTTGTTTTATTTCTCCTAAATGTTGTTCATTTAACATATTTCGTTCCTGAAATAAATTCTCAATTTGTATCTCATACATTCCAATTGTATCGGATTGTTGATCCTTTTTCTCTAATAACTGTTTCATTAAGAAATCTAAATTCTCAATTGTATCGAAATCGGATGTTTGATGATCGTAAGCAATGAATAAATCTGGCCGTTGTGTAACAATTGTTTGTACTTTCTCTTTTATTGATTGTAAAGCACGTTTTAATTTTACATTGATAAGCTGTAGTTTTTCTTGTGATTGATCGTTGGTTTGAGCAGAAGATGGAACAGCGAAATTCGATGATGATGAACTACTAAGTGGAATAGTTTTTAGTAATGATTCTTCGACTTCAACAGGTGTTGATGTCTTTGCTTGTGAAGAACTGAAGAAACCAAATAGACGACTTGTTACACTTTTTTCCATACTATCATCGATCACTGCCGGTGTTTCGATATCGTCTTTTCTCATTTCTTTCACATCACTTGTTTTCATTTTAGACGGAATATTTTGATCAACTCTTTTCCTTTGATCATTTGTTTCTGATTCAGTTGATAATCGATAGTGATTATCACTATCAAATGTTTCAGAACGACTTGTGGGTATTTGAGTATTAGCATTGCTTATATGAATACCTAAAATACGCAAAAATAAATATATTATTAAGCAATCTATTATTATGATTGATATCTACAATGTTCAGAAGTTGAATCAAATATGAAATACTCCCTTCTTCGATCATTAATGACTGTTTCAAATTTTCTCTCTTTTCTTTTTCGAAAACTTTTTTTTGTATCATTTTTTTATTGTAGTACGACAAGCAAGAGAAATATTCTAAATAGGTAATAGTTGTTTACATGCAGACAATGGTCAAAACATTGATTTTCACTTTATACAGCTAGATGATTCATAACGTTTTCCCATAACAAGCTCTCTCTCTCTCGTAATCAATCTCAAAGCTTTGTTTTTAATTTGTCTAATCTAAGTTTTGTTTTATTTTGAGTATGAAGAAGTTGCCGATGAAAAGATGAATGAAAATTTCTAACTTTTTTTACCTGTATCAGCTCTAATTGCTGCATCACTTTCAACTGTCTCTCCTTGAATGTTTTTAGTTGACATGGCGTTTGAAAGTTGTTTTTGTTCAAAATAATTTTGAATGATTTCAGTCATTTCTAGCAGAGAATATTCTTTATCGCTTCTAATAAATTGTGCTAAATTCATTATTTGTTCTAAACGACGTTTAACTGTTGTTAACATTTTTTTAGCTTCCAATAGTTTTTGTATCACTTCTTGTTGTTGTTCTTTTGTAAAATCTCCTGTTTGAGTTATCTTATGATCCAATTTAATTACACTAATATCTTCGGACGAATCATCTCCATCATCTTCCATTAAAATGTCTTGATTTTTTTCAGTTTTTGGTACTGTTTTTTGAGCGGTAATGACTGTTGATAATTGTTGCGGTTCCTCATATTCCGATAGTTGATTTCTTAAATTTTCAATTTCGCTTTGCAACTGACGATTATCCATTTCTAATGTTTTTATTTTTGATAGTGATGTACGCAAGAGTGTTGAAGTCTTTTTTAAACGTTGACGTACAGGATCCGCAGATTCGCTGTCATTCTCTTCTAGTATCTCGTATTGTGTCTCTTTATCATTGAATAGAATGGAAGAATTGCCGCTTGTTTTTGAATCTGCCGTTGTTGTTGCTTGTACTAGTTCATGATCATCAGCATCGGTTGAATGCGGGATTTGCTGTTTCTGAGTAAAATCACTCGTTTGTGGCTGTATTGATGACAAAGTAGTTTCTTTCTCAAACTCATTGGGGGATGCGTTTTCGGTAAAGAAGCTAAATAGTCGACTTGTTATACTTTTAGAACCACTGGCATGCGATGTATCATCACTTGGTGTATGCGTATTAGACTTGCTTATCGTTGAGACATCTACTTTTTGATTCGACGTATCAACTAGATTATCATCGAGTAAATTACATTGTACCCCTTGGTCATTTGTTTCGATGTGACGAGATGGTTGCTGCTCATCTACGATATTATCGTGTGTTCCTTCTCTATTATCTGTTCTTGGTTGATATTCAACTTGCTCCCTTCTTACCACATCTTTGTGTATAATCGCTGGAGATGTACGCTGTTTTTGTTGAATAAACAAACGACCACTGTTATCAATGGTATTATGATCAACTAGAAGAAAGAACAGCAAAAGTTCGATAATAAGTGATCCGGTAACAGATAACATTCTATTTTCAATGTATAACTGTTTTAGCAGTAACTTTTGAAGTTCTTGGATTAATGAAAAAGGTTCAAACTTAACCCAGCAGGTGACTTGCAGAAAATTTGTACCTGTAGCTCAGCGATCAAGAGACGTAAGAGAAAACTTTCTTGTAATTTTGGTCAGTTCGGTAAGCTGCGTCGAATGGCAGTGTCTGTTTGACTGTACCCTTCAAGCAGACCTCAAAAGGATGAAAATTGTTTTGTCAAACAGACATTGCCATTCGATGCAGCTCATCGAACTGACTAAAACTACTAGAAAGTTTTCTCTTACGTCTCTTGATGGGTGAGCTGTACAGTATTGCAAGCTACCGATTCCAAGAAACAGACAACTCAAGGACTGTAATTTTTACAATTTCATTACTCTGACTAAATGATAATAAAATAGCAAGACTTTAATAAAGATTTAGAGGTGAATAAAGATCTTACAAATAATGACTTTAGGCGTAATTTGAGACATTCTGAGTAAAATTCGGCTAAGATAATTTAAAGTCTTTGTATTGGTGATGCTGACATAGAATCTTCATGTTCTCAGACTCTCTGTATGACAGAAGACAGAACTCTAAACCAAACTAAGGATACCTACTTCGGAAAAATTTTGGGCTTTGAGTTGAACATATTCTAAGGTAGAGGAAAGTCTGGGCTACGAAATGAGATCACTCCAAACATTCCACGACCTTTCTTGAAAATGTTATGAATTTTTTAAGTTTTTGCTTCAAAGCCTGAACATACTCAATTTTGTAGTTCCATAAAATTTTCTCTCTTTTTCTGTACATTCAAAATTTTTTCTTATACATAGTCTGATTGAAGAAAGTGTTCTCTTCACAATGAGACGCCTTCACAAATTTTCCGATGATTGTTCGTGGAGATATAAGCGTCGCCGCAAACGCCATGAAGAAAACGACGAAGCTAGAGAGTTGTAACAAAAGGAAAAAGATGCTCAATTGAGTTTTTAATTAGTCCTGGAATGGAGAAGGTTTTGTCATTTTTAGTTTATGCCTGTCAATATTTCCACGAAAAGTCTCAAAAGAGGAGAAGAGTACCCTTAACCAATCAACCACTAATACGAACTGGTTTTATGAACACACTTAGTCACATTCTTCCAAAAATTGTCTCCTATATATGTATATGCTTACATCGATCATCTTCCTGTTCATTTATTGGTGTAACGGCGACTCGGGTTGACGATAATTTTGGTTGTATATCAGACTCATATTGTTGCTGAAGTTGTACTTTATATTGAAATAATTCTGAATTCAAATCTTCCAATGTCTCTTTTTCACGTTGCATCAAATCTAATTCTTGTTTTGTCTTCAAATTTTGTTCTAAATTTGTTTGTTCAATATTTTTTAATCGTTCTAATTCTTGTCTGAAATAATCACAATTCTTTTCCATTTCGATATAATCTCGTTCTCGATTCATATATTTCTGTTCCAATTCCGCATAATTGTATTCACGAAGAAAATCGGTTAACTGTTTAATCTGAACTTTTTGTTCTTCATATTCGACATGTTCTCGATCGTACTGAGACAATTTTGAATGTAAATCAGATCTTACTTGTTTTAATTCTATTGATAATTGTTCACACAATTCATATTTTAGAAGGCGCTGTTGTTGTATGTCTTCTAGAACTTTATCATAAGACGATTTTAATTCAGCTATTTCATTATCATGTTTAGAATCTAAATGAGAGGCAAAATAGCGTTCAATTAGTCGAATAAGAATACTAACACTATTCTGAAGCTCACTATACAGTGGACATTCATATAGACATTTAATAAAAAAATAAATAAAAACTACTCTTTTTTTACTTTCTTCGATTGCACAATAAAGTACAAATTATCTTTCCCTTTAAATAAAAGTTTTTTATATCAATTGGCACGATGGGATAACTAAGGTGAGGAAAAAAGTTACAAAAACTATAAATGATAAAAATTCAATTTTTTCTGCATTTAAATAAAGATTAAAAATGATTTTAAGACTAAAACCTGATGTTCTTACTACTATTCTGACAAAAAATAGTTGATTTTTATTCTGATGTGATAGAAATCTACTTTTCAGGCTAACAATATTTCCAAAAATGATCTATTTAATATAATAAGTCTTCACCCTTCCAACTTCAAGTTCAAACTTTACACAAATAGTCCTCTGTATCTAGTGCATCTATACACTTAATTCAAAATAGCACAGATTTTTCTGGACCTCACAATGAATTTTCCAAAAATCTCTGATTTTTACCTAAAAATCTCACTGTTTTTGACTAAAAACCAAAACAACTATTATATTCGTAGCCAGCGCTAAAAATTACATCGAATAACGTAACATTTTCTGAGATATTTTTCAGGCGTTTTTGATCAAATATTCTTGCAAGTTTTTTCTTGCAAAAGTACTATTTTCACGTATAAAGAGTCATTATTGAGTCAAAAACAATCGTTTCCGATAATAAAAAAACTCGATGTCTGTCTGCCTAGTGAGAAAAGTCCATTATACATCACTTCGAAGTCAACGGCATTCAGTTTCTTGTGAAGAGATGGTCGCTTACTCAGTTCATTTTTTTCATCTTTTGATTTGTCTAATCTAGTTTGCAATTCATGATCTTGCTGTTGTACAAGTGTTAATTGGTCAAAAAGATCATTTTTCTCGGAATTTAATAGTTGATATTCATCTTTTAACACCCGAATATATCCTTCATTGTATAAATGTTTTGCTTCGTACGATTGCAATTGAATTTGATAACAACGATATGCTAAATAGCATAAACGAAGTAGAAATTCATTTTGATCTTGAGATGCTTGTAATTCAGTAAAATTAAGTTTTGAACGTGCAATTGTCTGATACGATTCAGATGATAAATAATCACAAATTTTATCTAATGACATCGATGATAATTCATCATTCAGTTGATTTCTAGTA